GCACCTGGCCCGGGACTCGTAGCCAGACCGTGCCCCTTTAAGGGTTCCCGGGGCCGGGAGGGGGGCAGATAAGTTTCCCTGGTGGTACCCAGAGTGGCCACCAGGGCAAGCTGGGGAGGGCAAGCCTCCAACTAGTTCGAATTAAGTGGCTACACAGCCCTTAATTCGACCTACTTAATTCGAACTAGGCATTACTCCCCATAGAATGAGGTTTATCTAGTTCAAATTAAGCGCTCCGCTAGTTCGATTTAAGTTTGAACTAGCGGTTTGCATGTATAGACGCTATGTAAGTTAATTCGAATTAACGGCTGTATGTCTAGACTACAGGGTTTTGTAGACAAAAGTGGACTTTTGTCACCAAAACTATACCTGCATCCACACTGCCACTGAGTTCTGTCGAGATAACGTCGACAGAACTCAGCAGTTTTGTCGATGGCTGTAAACCTCATTCTATGAAGAATAACGCCTTTTGTCGACAGAGTTCTGTCAATAGAAGGCGTTATTGCAGCTACACTGTCCTTTGAGTCTACACTGTCATGTCAACAAAGCGGCTTGCTTTGTCGCCAGAACTGGATGAAGTCTAGACTCTCTTTGTCGACAGAAGCTTTGTCGACAATATCTGTCAACAAAACTTCTGTCAAGAAAAGCCTGTAGTCTAAACGTACCCTAATTGCCTATTAATGGTTCTTATCTGCCTCTTTTGACTATCCAGTCTTTAGGTGCATATTTGTTTTTCCTGTTACATTCCAGCTCTGCCATCTGAAGAAGTGGGTAGTGTCCATGAAAGCTCATGATACCATCTACATGTTTTGTTAGTCTATAAAGCGCTACCAGTCCATTTGTTGTTTTTTAAGTTTAACCCGTACAGACTAACTCGGCTACCCCTCTGAAACTAAGATCCTGTTTGCTGACACAGTCAATTCGGAAAGGGGATGTATATTCCCAGGGTTGGCCATGCAATTCCCTTTTGATAGGTGAGGTTGGTCGTGCAACCTTTCTGAAGGTTGCCCAACAGTTCCCACTATAAGGGTATGTCTAGACTACAGGGTTTTGTCGACAGAAGTTTTGTCGACAAATACTGTCGACAAAGCTTCTGTCGACAATGAGCGTCTAGATTACATGCAGTTCTGTCGACAAAGCAAGCCGCTTTGTCGACATAACACTGTGGATGCAATGGACAGCGTAGATGCAAGAATGCCTTCTATCGACAGAACTCTGTCAACAAAAGGCGTTATTCCTCATAGAATGAGGTTTACGTACGTCGACAAAACTGCTGAGTTTTGTCGATGTTATGTCGACATAACTCAAAGGCAGTGTGGACACAGGTATAGTTTTGTTGACAAAAGTCCACTTTTGTCGACAAAACCCTGTAGTCTAGGCACACCCCTCGAAACTCATTTTGTTCCTTTATAATGGCCCAACGCCGTCCATTAATCGGCCGTCCATTAATTTGGCTGGTTTATAACTTCTGATGGCCTCTTCTTTGTGACACTCTAATATCTCCAGCTTTACGACTTAAAATTGGGCACAGAGGTCGCCTTCGAGCCCGAGAGGCACCTTTTGCCAACGCATAAAAATCAGCCTAAACATACAACGTTTAAAATGAGCTGTTCGCACATCCATAGTAGTGACTTCGTTATAGAAGCTAAATTTCCCCAGAGGTTCTGTGCACGCTGAGCAAGCCCCAGTAAGGGGTGGAAGGGGACAATCCCTAGGATGGTAGATCTGGGGTTGCTATGGAATGTGGGAGGCCTGGGGACTGGGCAGCCAAAAGTAGATGAGGGGGGTCTATCTTTCTTGAGCTCTAAAGTGTCTGACTGGCGGCATAGAGAAAGAAGGTGCTTGATGCAGATGCAGATGCAGTGGAGAGAACGGCCCGACCGGGGTGGGGACAGAGGGAGTTGAGGGGACGAAGGACCCTGGAGGGAAAGACAAGGAGTGGAAGACGGAGGTAGGGATGGGGAAAGGCCACTGTGTACTAGGGAAAAGTGGAGACTAGAAGAGGATGGCCAAGAAAAATGTGACTGGGAACAGAGACGACTCCGGCAAGAGGACTCAGAGGGGCAGAGAGGCCAGTTACCGAGGGGGAGAGGGAGCTCAGGTGAGCTGCGGAGGATACCTGGATGGGTGGAGAAGGAATCAGTCAGATGGGGAGGAGGGAACGTGTGGGGATGGGAGGCCAAGTTGGTGAGGAAAGTGGGCAGGAGAGGAGCTGTTTGGGGACACACGGAGCCAGGGGGAGGAGCCGGGGAAGGCCGGTGAGTTGGAACCTGGCAGGGAAGGGAAGGAAAGGGAAGGAGGAGGTAGGGGCGGGGTGGACACCATGAGAGAACTGGATGAGGTTAAAGCTGAGGGGTTGTGCATGGAGAGTAGGGGAGGGAAGGTTCGGAGGAAGACGGAGACCCCGGAGGGGTGAGCCTAGGCTGGGCTGGGCATGGAGCCGGGGAGGAGAAGTCAGAAGTGAGGAAACTGGCCAGGTGAGGAGGCTGGGGCTGGGACAAGAACCGGGGGTGGAGGGCAGAGAGAAAAGAGACCTGACCCATGGACAGGTGGATGGGATGGAGCCGTAGGATTCAGGCTGTGGGGGAAAGGGTAGAATACTCTGTGCCTGGTAGAGGGTCCCCCATCCAGCGCCTGGAACACAAAATGGCTGGGGCCCATCGCTTCTCTGCATTCAGCCTTTCCCTTTGAAGTCCCCACAAAAGGGTCCCACCCCTCGATAGTACTGCTCCACAGAGACACCAACAACCATGTGAGCAGCACCGTTATGACCACAACGTTTCACATGGGCCCCCATCCCTACTGACCTCACACTGGTCACACCTCACTCTGGGAGAACAAGGTGGTCCCAGATCTTACCGTTTAAGAGAGGTTCCTGAGAAAATGGACTCACAGAGGAATGGATGGACTCACAGAGGAATGGATGGACTCACAGGCAGACAGAGGCACCAACTGTCTTAATACATATATAGTTTTCACCTTTACTCTGCCCTTCTGTGGTTCTAATGAGATCAGTCCATATATATAGACATGAAAAGTCTTTTAGCATTGAAAAGCTCATTTGGTTTAGTAGGTAAAGTTCTAACAGGGCATAGATACATCACACAAATAACACTTAGCACCAACCTATGCTTTCTTATTTTTTTATCACAAATGAATGGGTTTAGGCTTGCTAGTCTAAGTCGGCTCTTTGAAATTAACGTACCTGTGAATTGTCCTGAGACAGTGGTAAAGCCCCTTGTGAAATTATTCTGGGTCTTACACAGGTGGGCTGGTCAGTCAGGAAGCCCAAATTCCACCCTCGTGCATCATTACGATTCGAGAACTGGGGTACATTTCTGCTTTACTGTAGAAAGATCAACATTCCTACAGACGTTCTCAAGGTACATGTCACTAGTTTTCCAAGGGTTCGACCGCTTTAATCAAAACCAGTAGAAGCCTTGTGCTTGACTTCAGTGGGATCAATCCAAGCACCCTTGTAGCCTGCTGTGATCTATCTAACATCTGCGGTTTGTCTTTAATTCTTATCTCCTCACCTTTCCAAAGGGGATGTCGGCAGCGGAGCCAGGGAGAGATGGGAACCACACTGTGGTGATGGAATTCCTCTTGCTGGGCTTTGGAAGAGGTACGGGGCTCCAGCTAGTCCCTTTTGTGACGTTCCTGGTGATTTACACGATAACGGTGCTGGGGAACGCCGTCCTGGTCCTCACCATTGCCACTGATGCTCGCCTCCACACCCCCATGTACTTCTTCCTCTTGAACTTGTCTTTCATAGACTTCTGCTACTCCTCCGTCATTGCCCCAAGAGCCATGGTGAGCTTCCTTTCACAGAGCAAAACGATTTCCTATAGTGGATGTGCCACCCAATTGGTCTTCTTTGCTTTCTTTATCACCACTGAGGCATTCATCCTATCAGCCATGGCGTACGACCGTTACGCCGCCATCTGCAACCCGCTCCTGTATCCCATCACCATGTCCAAGTCCGTCTGCATTCAGCTGGTGGTGGGGTCCTATATCTGCGGCAGTGTGAACTGCGTAGTGCAAACTGGCTTCACCTTTACTCTGCCCTTCTGTGGTCCGAATAAGATTGATCATTTCTTCTGTGATTTTCCACCCCTGCTAAACCTCTCGTGCACTGACACCTACATCAATCAAATGGTGCTATTTGCCTTCTCTAGCCTCATCATAGTCATCACTTCCTTGATCATTCTTGTCTCCTATGTCTATATCATCTTGTCTGTCCTGCACATACGCTCGGCCACCGGCCGGCAGAAGACCTTCTCCACCTGCTCCTCCCACCTGGTGGCTGTGAGTATATTTTATGGGACCGTTACCTTCATGTACGCCCAGCCAAGTTCCCTCTCCTCCCCGGAGCAGAGCAAAGTGGTGTCCGTGTTTTACACACTGGTCATCCCCATGTTGAATCCCTTCATCTACAGCCTGAGGAACAAAGACGTGAAAAACGGTTTGAGAAGAACAATTGGTTGGATCGTGGTCTGGAAATGAACCTTCGCTATGAATATATAGCTATATAATCCTTTGGGATATTGGAAGGACTGGTAGAGAAATTTCTCTCTCGCTTTCTCTTACTCTTCTCTCTTTTTCAATGTATCTCCCTCATTAGCCACCTAGCTACTTAGCCACCTGTCTAGCAATATAGCTCACAATCTATCTATCTGTTTGTCTGTCTCTTAAACACCCCCCCCCCATCTATCTATGGGTGCATCTATACTGCATTGTTATTTCAAGATAACTAATGTTATTTCGAAATATCAACATGAGCGTCTACACAGCCATTGCATTATCTGAAAAAAATTGGAAACAAGGAGCCACTTATTCGGAAATCTGTAAAGCTCATTCTACGAGGAATAATGCCTCTTCCGAAAGAAGGCATGTGTAGATGCTCCACTGCTGCTATTTCAAAATAGCCCTTCCCCAGGGCTATTCTAAATTATTTGTCCCCAGTGCCTCCTGGGCCTAAAAGGCGAGATAGCACATCTACACTAGGGGAGACTGCCTCTGACTTATTTTGAGGCTTCCCTGCAGTGTAGACAAGCTATTTCGAAATCAGCTATTTGGCTGTGTCTAGACTGCATCCCTTTTCCGTAAAAGGAATGCAAATTAGATACATCGCAATTGCAAATGAAGCTGGGATTTAAATCACCCCGCTTCATTTGCATAAACATGGCTGCCGGTTTTTTCCGGCTCGGAGCTTTGCCGGAAAAAAGCGCCAGTCTAGACGCGGATCTTTCGGAAAATAAAGCCTTTTCCGAAAGATCCCTTATTCCTCTTAAAATAAGGAATAAGGGATCTTTCGGAAAAGGCTTTATTTTCTGAAAGATCCGCGTCTAGACTGGCGCTTTTTTCCGGCAAAGCTCTGAGCCGGAAAAAAGCGGCAGCCATGTTTATGCAAATGAAGCAGGGGGGATTTAAATCCCCGCTTCATTTGCAATTGTGATGTGTCTAATTTGCATCTGTTTTACAGAAAAGGGATGCTGTCTAGACACAGCCTTTCAGAATAACTATTCCAGAATAGCTTATTTTAAATTAGCTGTGCAGTGTAGTCTTAGTTTATCTATCCCCATACACCTACCTATCTATCTATCTATCGCACTCCCAATACTGTGATATAACACTAGGAGTATGAATTAAAAATGTAATAAATCAATCCTCTGTGTGTTTATGTTACTTTCTACATCTGGTCATGAAATCTGATAAATAATGGACCCCATCGTTAGCTTTGCAGTGTAGCGGTGTGAGTGTGTTCGTATCCATCTTCCTGGCTGGCCCCAGTTGCTAATCCCCCCCGTGATTGTCCAAAGGGGAGATGGCTGGATTTTTCCAGGCTACTCAATGCTGCAGTCAGTGGGCATTGCACATTCGACTTCTCTGGGGGCCAACTGAGGCACAAAGCAAGCACCTCTAAAAGATCATCCTTGTGCTTTGGGCTCAGATTGCAGGGCTCCTTGCTGTGGGGTGGCCATATGCAAAGTGACCTTCAAAACTTCCCGGACGCAAGTTCCTTCCTTTCTTGCTTTCAGATGGGTTCCAAATTTCCTTTCTCGATGTTTGTGGTGCATCCAGTCACCCCGATCCCCTTGGGACTGTCACTGGATGTGCTGAAATACCCCTGAGCCCAGCTACCTGCCCTTTGGGAACCTCCTCCCCACTACCCAAGTCTCTGTGAGCCTGGCCATCTCGACCCTCTCCAGCATTGGCGTCATAACCCACTGCAGGATAACACAGACTCAGAGCAGCTCACCTCGGCGAAGGCTAACTCAAAGGGACTTGCCCTAACACCGAAGCACACAGCCCCAGTGGGACCAGAACCCTAGCTAAATCCGTCTTCCACGGTATAAAGTTTTATACAGAGCAAGGTCCCCAACTCAAGAGAGAGATGCGTAGTGGTTTTGCGTCCCAGGTAACAATTATTTACCCTGTGTTTAGTAATAAACCTACATGATTTTATGAATAGAAAAAGTAGAATTGACATGATTGTGGGTGATAGAAGACAGATCAAAGGAAGTTACTAAAGCAAAATGAAACAAACTGATAAAGCAAGCGAGACCTCATGTACTGAGAGAATTGGTTACAAATCATCATCTCTCATACTACTACTTATTTCAGGTAAAGTCCTTTCCAAACCAGAGATGTCCATTCTGAGCTGGGTTCAGAAGTTCTCCTCCAATACAATCCTTTTGTTTCCAGGGGTGTTAAATAATCACGGCTTCATTTAAATTTAAAGGGCTGCCGTGCTGAGCCAACAAACAGCTGATCAGCTGTTTGTCGGCTCAGCGCGGCAGCCATTTAAATTTAAATGAAGCCGCGATTATTTAAATCGCAGCTTCATTTCCTTTTGCCGAACAAACAAATCTACATGGCTCTGTCAACGGGGACATGTAGTTTAGACATACTCCAGGTGTTCTCATGAAGGTGTTGCTCTGGGTAAAGCCAACTGAAGACCATCAATGTTGACTCCTCATTCCTCTGAGGAAAAATACAAAATTCAAGATGGATTCCAGCATGAGCTGACAAGGTCCCATGTCTCTGTAGCACCCTAGAATCCATGACTCTGTAGCAACATAGCAAATCTGAACGAAGACAGTTCACCCCCACTCCGTTTTCTCTTTCTTATCTCTGTGTCCGGCTCCTTCATTGTTGTTCCTAACGAGGTGGCAATTGGCTTTTCCCCACGTGAACACATTGATAACACATCTACAGTCAATGTTCCTAATTTCAGATCAGAAATGGTGCGTACAAAGAGAATATACACATTCAGTATATCCCCAATGTTGCAAGACAAGAATTATTTTGCATGCATCATTGTCCAGTTATGCATATTCATGTCTGGAAGCACATTTCCATAAAGCACAGGGAAGACCCTTTCACAATAGTCATGATCTTTGTTCACGGTCTTCAGGTCCAACTAATTTCTGATTTACATATTCTCATTAGAGACACCTGTGATTATCTAGTCTGTAAAACACAAGGCATAGAATTCCCCCAAAGAAATCTTAGATCAGTTCTACATGAAACCCAGCAACTTGGCTTAAGTTACACAACTCCAGCTAGGTATTCTACATAAAATACGCAGCCGGAGTTGCCTTACCTTAAGCCGAGCTTGGTAGTTTCCTGACAACAGGAGGAACACTCCAATGGACTTCCCTCACTCCTCACAAAAGGAGGAGTACTGGGCACCCTCTGAGTTTGATTTAGTAAGTCTTAATTAAAACGAAATCTGGAAGCTCAGTCAGTGTAGACACATCCTGAGAGTATGGCTACACTAGCTCGTTAGTTCGAGCTAGGTAGGGTAATGAGGGCAAGCGGAGTTGCAAATGAAGCCTGGGATTTAAATATCCTGGGCTTCATGTGCATGTTCCCGGGCGCCACCATTTTAAAATCCCCTTTAGTCCGAACTCCATGCCCGCGGCTACACGCGGCACGGACTAGGTAGTTCGAATTGAAGATCCTAATTTGAACTTCTGTTACTCCTGATGGAATGAGGATATTGAAGGCCAGGACATTAACATGGTTCAAAAAAGAGCTAGATAAATTCATGAAGGTTAGGTGCATGAATGGCTATTGGCCAGGCTGGGTAGGAAAGGGGTCCCTGTTCTCTAGGGCACCTGGCATTGACCACTCTGGGCAGACAGGACACTGTCTGACTCAGTGTGCGCACCTGGCATTGACCACTCTGGGCAGATAGGACACTGTCTGACCCAGTGTGTCCTTTTGAGGCTCAGGGTGTGGGGCAAAAATAAGCAAGCATAGACATACACACTTGGGCTGGAGAAGTCTGTAGAATGGGAAGTTCCTTGGAGCCTGTTCTCCAACCCAATGGGTTACAGCTACCCTGCAACTTTTGTTTCCTGAAACTCAAGCTCCTCGAATCCTAGTTAATTGTCTGAGGCTGCGCCCCTTGGTGCTACAAGGTTTTCTTTACAATGTAGACATAACCACTGTGTGCCCACCTAATGCTGTATTGCAAATATTACACGCCACATCCCTGGACTACTTTTTTTTAATTCATTTTTTCCCGGGGAGAAGCGTTCTCCTTAGCGCTTTCCTCAGGGCAGATTTCACCTCCTCGTTCCTCAGGGTGTAGATCAGGGGGTTCAGCGTGGGGGTGACGATGGTGTACATGAGGGTGACGGCCATCTCCCTCTCGGCGGAGCCTCCCACGGAGCGTGGCACGTAATTGGAGAGGACGGGCACGTAGAATAAAGTCACCACGGTGAGGTGGGAGGAGAGGGTGGAGAAGGCCTTTCTCCTGCCGGCCCACGACTGGACCTTCAGGAAGAGGAAGGAGGTGATGTAGAGGTAGGAGAGGAGCGTGAGGATGAAGGGGCCTATCACGATGCCTCCGGTGACTATATTGAGGAGGCTCAGGTTGAGGTGGGTGTTGCCGCAGGCCAAGCTGAGGAGAGGTTTGATGTCACAGAAGAAGTGGGGCACATGGTTGGGGCCACAGAAGTGCAGCCGGGAGGTCATGACCGTGTGCATCAGGGCATGCAGGAAACCACTGGACCAGGTGGCTGTGGCCAGGAGCAGACAGGCCTGTGGGTTCATGACCAGCCTGTAGCGCAGAGGGTTGCAGATGGCCACGTAACGGTCGTAGGCCATGACGGCCAGCAGGATGGCCTCGCTGCTGCCCAGGAAGTGGAAGAAGTGGAGCTGAGCCAGGCAGCTGGCGAAGGAGATGGCCTGTTGGCCGGAGAGGAATCCAGCCAGCATCTTGGGCGCGGTGACCGTTGAGTAGAAGATGTCCAAGCAGGAGAGGTTGCCCAGGAAGAAGTACATGGGGGTGTGGAGCTGGTACTCAGCCATCACCACGACCACGATGGCCCCATTTCCCAGGACGCTGGCCATGTAGAGCAGCAGGAAGAAGGCGAAGAGGAAACCTTGCAGCTCCTGGAGGTCGGTCAGGCCCAGAAGGATGAACTCGCTCACCTCCGTCTCGTTCTCCATCGCGAAGAACGACAAGGAAAGGAGAGAGAAAAGCTGTGAAGAGCAGAGCATTTTTACTTTTGTAATTTAAAAAAATTGTTGCGTGAATGATTTCAAGAAAATAAAACGAATTCTATTAACATTTCCAAAGATTTCTATTTTTTCCAGAGAGGTGTTATTCCATCCTTTCCTTTGGTTCATAGAGACATAGATTTGTAGGATTGGAAGGGACCTCTGTAGATCGCAAACCACGCATCACATTGTTGTAGAATGCCCAACACGAAAATTCACTGGCTCATTGGAAGATGTGCACAATCTAACCAGTGATGCTGTTCACTGGCTGGAGAGCTTGGATGTCCAACTTTGATGAAGAAATATAGGGTTGAACATGACATTCAAAGGAAGATCTAGTACACTTCCTTGCCTAGAGGAAGGTCCAAGTATTATGGAACCGTAGAACACTAGAACTGGAAGGGACCTCGAGAGCTCATTGAGTCCAGTCCCCTGCCCTCATGGCAGGACCAAGCACCATCTAGGTCATCCCTGACAGGTGTCTGTCTAGCTCTTATCGGACTGGGGGTTGTCTAACTTCTTAAAAATCTCCAATGATGTCTATTGGCCAGGGGACATGATAGAACTTTTCAAGTATCTAAAAGGGTGGCACAAGGAGAGGGAGAAAAATTGTTCTCCTTGGCCTCTGAGGATAGGACGAGAAGCAATGGGTTAAAATTGCAGCGAGGAAGGTTTAGGTTGGACATTAGGAAAAACTTCCTACCTGTCAGGGTGGTTAAACACTGGAATAAATTGCCCAGGGAGGTTATGGAATCTCCATCTCTGGAGATATTTAAGAGCAGGATAAACTGATACCTGTCAGGGATGGTCCAGATGGTGCTTGGTCCTGCTGTGAGGGCAGGGGACTAGACTCGATGGCCTCTCGAGGTGCCTTCCACTTCTAGTGTTCTGTGATTTTATGAATTTCTTCCAGTGCTTAACTACCCTGACCGAGCGCGTAGTCAACCCGTGGAACTCCTTGCCAGAGGATGTGGTGAAGACCAAGACTTTAACAGGGTTCAAAAAATAACTTGATCATTCCTGTAACCCTTATTTTATGACATCATCAAAACCCAAAATAAGCTTTTTCGACTAAAGCTACCCAATTGACGTCAATTGTGTAGCTTATTTCGGATTTTGCCCTGTTGTGTAGACGGGCCCTAAGTAGTCTAAATACCACAATACATGACAGGGAACCACACACAGCAGGTGCATGGGTTACATATACACAAACGAACCCCCCGTACATCTTAAAGTTGGGCTGGTTTGAAAAGGAATCGCTTAACACTTATTTCATTTTTTCTGATTTTTTTAAAATTTCTCCTCCCTTCCCTCTGTGTTCCCTTCTCTCCTCTGATAACATTCTGGCTGAAAAAGAGGAGCAGGAAGTAAAAGAGGGGTAAAATCAAAGTAGACATTTTTAAAAGTTTGAAATATTTAACAAAAGTTAAAAAAAACAGATACGTATTTTTGGCACGCAAATTTCCATTTATTGAAATTACAGGAGATCCTCCAAGAACAAACACCAGAGCTATGATGAAGAGAGATTAAAAAGACTTGGACCTTTCCGCTTAGAAAAAAAGGAGACTAAGGGGGGGATAGGATCAGTGCTGGCCCACTACATTTTGGCACCTGAAGCGGGGAGTTCAAACCGTGCCTCTATGTCCCCTCACTTGGGCCAAAACTTGGAGAGGTCTCAATTCTGCCTCCTACCTGTTCTACTCCTCTCATGGTACTGCTCTGCTACTTACATCTGCACCAGCAGCTGATGCAATTTTCTACACTCTGGGTCCTAGTGGCACCCGCTCCCTCCTCACTGTCTGGCACTTGAGGCGTCTGCCTCAGTTTGCCTCATGGTCTATGAAATCAGGAGTGGTATGGAAAAAGCGAATAAGCAAAAGTTATTTACTTGTTCCTACACTATAAGAACTAGGGCCGTGTCCAGACTCAGGGGTTTTTTCGGGAAAAGTAGCCTTTTCCCGAAAAAACTTCCCCTGCGTCCAGACTCAAGCCACGTTCTTTCGAAATTATTTTGAAAGAACGCGGCTTTTCTTTCGATGGCGGTAAACCTCATTTCACGAGGAAGAACACCTTCTTTCGAAAGTTCCTCTTTCGAAAGAAGGCGTTCTTCAATGTAAAGAGGCCGTCTTCGAAAGAGAGCATCCAGACTCGCTGGGTGCTCTCTTTCGAAAAAGCAGATTTCTCTTTCGAAAGATCCGCCTGCAGTCTAGACGCGATCTTTTGAAAGAGGCTCTTTCGAAAGATGCTTTCGAAAGAGCCTCTTTCGAAAGAAGTCTGCAGTCTAGACATAGCCTTAGGGTCACCACATGCAGGTAGCAGGTTTAAAACAAACAAAAGGAAGTTTTTCTTTATGCAGTGCACAGTCAACCTGTGGAACTCCTTGCCAGAGGATTTGGTAAAGGCTAGGAATTTAACAGGGTTCAAAAAAGTGCAAGATAGATTCCTGGAGGTTAACTCCATCAATGGCTATTAGCCAGGCAGGATAGCAATGGTATCCTTAGCCTCTGTTTCTCTGGAGTTGGGTGATAAGGGAGGGATCACATGAGGATTACATGTTTTGTCCCTACTTTTGGAATTGGCTACTGTGGGCAGACAGCACACTGACCTAGATCAACCTTTAGTCTGACCCAGTGTGGCCATTCTTATGTTTTTTTGTAAGTGAGCGCCCAACCACACTCCTCATTTGTAACAGGAAAAACCCAATCTGGCAGCAGCAGAGACAAAAAATCGTAGGCAAAAACAGGACAGCACTGTGTTAAACAGAAACAAATAAAACTAAAGGGAAAGCAGGATTTGTCTTCTGGGTCCTGAAGTTTCCAAGCCAATGTTGAGCAGCAAACTTTTGACAGGGCAGCCATGAGGTTTTGTTCGGCGTTACGGACATTTCAGAGTTAGGAAACACCTCCATTCCTGAGAAGGTTTTGTTCGGCGTTACGGACATTTCAGAGTTACGGAACACTTCCATTCCCGAGGTGTTCGTAATTCTGCGGTTCCACCGTCGCTCTTCTGTGTGTGAAAATGTTTCTCTCCAGAATCCTTGCTGTCCCTCTCATCTCTCACCGTTCCTCCTAGATCGATATTTTCCATCGTGCTATGGGGAAGCACGTACCAAACTCCCAGCAGCATGGCATGGGTACCCCTTTTTATTACAAAACCCTAACGCTAGCCTCAATGTTTGGGCCATTGCTTCAACCAAAAGTCTTCAGTCCATACACTGCACCAGTCCCTTTTCAATACAGAAGCAACCCCACAAACAAAAGACCTATCTGAGACTTATCCAGGTCCCATATGAGGAGAGGTTAAAGCGACTGGGACTTTTCAGTTTAGAAAAGAGGAGATTGAGGGGGGATATGATAGAGGTCTATAAAATCATGAGTGGTGTGGAGAGGGCCGATAAAGAGAAGTTATTTATTAGTTCCCTAAATAGAAGAACTAGAGGACACCAAATGAAATGAATGGGGAGCAGGTTTAAAACTAATAAAAGAAAGTTCTTCTTCACACAGCGTGTAGTCAACCTGTGGAACTCCTTGCCAGAGGAGGCTGTGAAGGCTAGGACTATAATAGAGTTTAAAGAGAAGCTAGATAATTTCATGGAGGTTAGGTCCATAAAAGGCTATTAGCCAGGGGATAAAATGGTGTCCTTGGCCTCTGTTTGTCAAAGGCTGGAGAGAGATGGCAGGAGACAAATCGCTTGATCATTGTCTTCGGTCCACCCTCGCTGGGGCACCTGGTGTTGGCCACTGTCGGCAGACAGAATACTGGGCTAGAAGGACCTTTGGTCTGCCCCAGTACGGCCGTTCTTATGTTCTTAGTCAAAGTTTACCATCTGCAAACATCTGGGAGATAATAAGATGATAGGTAGCAGCCAACATTTGCAAAGAACAAATCACGTCAAACCAATCTGATAACTTTCTTTGATAGGATAACAAGTCTTGTGGATAAGGGAGAAGCAGTGGAAGTGGGATACCAAGACTTTAGTAAGGCATTTGACATTGTCTTGCATGACTTTCTCATCAATAAACTAGGGAAATACAGCTTAGATGAGGCTATTACAAGGTGGGTGTATAACTGGCAGAATAACCATTCTCAGAGAATTGTTATTAACAGTTCACAGTCCTGCTGGAAGGGCGGAACAAGTTGAACTGCTCAGGGGTTTGTTTTGGGACCGATTCTGTTCCAGATCTCCATCAACGATTCTGATATCGGCATAGAGAGGACACATATTAAGTTTGCAGATGATACCAAACTGGGAGGCATTGAAACTACTTTAGAGGATAGGGGATTGAGGATAATTCAAAATGATCTGGACAAATGGGAGAAATGGTCTGAGGTGAATAGGATGAAGTTTAATAAGGACAAATGCAAAGTGCTCCACTAAGGAAGGAACAATCCGTGTTACACAGGCAGAACGGGAAGCGACGGTCTAGGAAGGAGTCCTGCAGAAAGGGATCTAGGGGTTATAGTGGACGCCAAGTTAAACATGAGTCAACAGTGTGACACTATTGCAAAAAAAAAAAAAAGCAAACGCGATTCTGGGATGTATCAATAGGAGTGTTGAGAGCAAGACACGAGATGTCATTCTTCCGCTCTACACTGCGCTGATTAGGCCTCCGTTGGAGGATTGTGTCCAGTTCTGGGCACCGCATTTCAAGAAAGATGTGGAGAAATTGGAGAAGTTCCAGAGAAGAGCAACAAAAATGATGAAAGGTCTAGAGAACATGAGCTACAAGGGAAGACTGAAAGACTTGGGCTTGTTTAACTGAGAAAAGAGAAGACTGAGAGGGGACATGATAGCAGCTTTCAGGTATCTTATAGGGTGTCAGAAAGAGGAGAGAGAAAAATTGTTCTCCTGGGCCTCTGAGGGCAGGACAAGGAGCAATGGGCTTATACTGCAGCAAGGAAGGTTGAGGTTGGACATTAGGAAAATCTTCCTAATTGGTTAAACACTG